CTGACTCCTCTTGTCATAAAGCTTATGGCAAAACTGTCTGCAATTCCTTTCCTCCTAGTACCATGCCGCTGAAACTGCACTTGTCAAATTCAGCAGGGACCCCCACAGTACCACACACCCCTGGGGTGGTCACGACTCATGCTACCTAACAGCCTGTGACAGCCACTCATCTCTGCCTCTTGGAGTTACTTTCTTCCCTCAGCCCCTGGCCATCCAGCGGTTCCAGAACACTTTCTCCACTTCCATCCTGGCGGGTCTTCACCCTCCCTTCTTGTCTTGGCTCGGACATCACCATCTCAGTGAGATCTACCTTCTACCTGTCATTTGAAATTGAACCCCTCACTTCGTCACCATATTTTCTGTTTCTCTGTAGTACAGCCCACTTTCCAATATATGAGATCTGACAATTAAAGTTTGAGAACTTATCCTAGAGAAAGAGCTCCATGCCTCATCACTGAATATCACGACAGTCACCTTCAAAGGACCCCCATGGGAAGCTATGCACCACGTCAGCGCCCAGTCCACCCTGCAAGGCACGTTTTCTAGGATGAGTTCACAAACTTAATGGAGGGTCCTCGTATGAGGACAGCTCTGATGGTCGTTCCAGAAAAAGAGTTCCAATATTGCCTTGAAGGGTGGACCAGGCACCTGCGTTGGTGCATAGCTTCCCAAGGGGAGTCCATCAGAGGTGACCACGGCGAAATTTAGCAGTCAGGTGTTGTAGATTTTTTCTAGGATAAGTTCATGAACTTAACTACCAGAACTCATATTATGTAATTTGCTTTCAACTGAAAATGTAAATTCCTTCAAGAGAGAATTTTTTTTGTTGCTGTTGTTGTTTTTCTTATTTCATCCTTAGCATCTCGAACAGGGACGGATGGTCCAGAAATACTTGTTGAAGGAATAAATGAATGATTTAAATCAACCTCACTGATGTAAAAGGGTCCATTCTATTGTTGCCAAACCATAAGCCTTTCTTTTCAATCCTTAGGTTCCGTCTCCCTGGGAATATATTGTTTTTGTATTTCTGTGCATGTCCCTCCCTTTTATTCACTTTTCAAAAAACTTAGAGCCATTTGAAAATGGTCACAAAGTAATCAGTGATTACTGAACAAAATTAATTAAATTCTCACTTAGTGGAAGGAGACACCAGGGTTCTGAGAGAGATAATTACTCCTATTGCATCATACCTGAATCAGCAAAACCCTGCATTTTGGAGTTTTCTACTTGACCATATCTCTTTGTCATAAAATGGAAAATAAGCTTTTGGTCACGCAGCTGCTGGACAAACCAACAAATGGCTGGTAGCAGGTAACAAATTTGATCTTCTATGAGTTTATCATGCTACACAAAAGTGATACAGCCCCTAAATTGTACCTACTAATAGTTGCAGAGTGTGTTTATCCTTTTCTGGAGCTGTTTCCTCCAACCAGAACACTCATGCTCTCTTTTCTGCTGTTTGAAATCTTGCCATTTCTTTGCACCATAACTCAAATGGTGCCTCCCCTGTAACCCTAATATATTCCACAGACGGTTTTTGGACATCTGTCTCTTATAGCCCTCATTATATTTCACAACGCGTACAATTACTAGTCTACCTGTGTTTCTGCATGTCTCAGTGCCCCTCTCAGAGATGCTTTCTTTATTTTTTTATCCACCTAAAGCCATAGTGAGCAGGCAAGAAATTACTATCTGGCCACTGAATGAAGCCAGACAAAACGAGACCTTGTGAGTACAATACCCTTATGCGCATATTCAGATATGCTGCAAACTGTACCACAGCAAGAACTATTTGAAACCACCTTCTTTTAATAGGCTGCAGCAAAACTGGTGATTCAAAAATGAGGGAGCTTTGGCTGCCTGACAATAATATTTAAAGGTCATGAGTCATGGCCTCAGAGTAACCATAGTAACTCAGCATACATAATAGAAGACGTGTTGTACAATAATTAAGAAAAAAGAAAGTTTTAGAAATCCTATTAGCCTCGAGATAAAACAAATCATAATTACCGAATGTATTTGTAAAGCTTGTTTTTATTGCAGTGTTTTCTTCAGGGTTCATGGGGTAACTGGGAAAACCTCTTTAAATTTCTATTGGCAAGGAATACTATGTCGTAATGTGACACATAAACCTCAGTGCTTTACCAGGGTATAAAATTTTCTTTCCTTTAAATGAAGTACCTTTCTTTTTACTTTCTAAACATTTTATTCCATGCTTTTAAAGTAGAATTGGAATGGTAATTAGTCACCAATTAGTCTATGTGAATAAATGATTTTAATACAATTCATGTAGCTCTATTCAACATCCAATTCCTACAGGACAGGATTTCCTGGGAAAAGGCTTTTTTGTGCCTTAGGTTAATTGCGTGCAGGGCCTAACCCTCTCTTGCTTAGACAACTTAGGAGCAAGTTCCCATTCAGTTTATGTAAACTGCGGAGAAGGTCTGTCTCAAGGGCATGAGAAGAGAGGAAAAAAGAGAAGGGCAGCCAACAGCCACAGGGGACCAGTTTGTTCCTGCTTAGAAGTGAAGGAGGTGAATTGAACCCACCTACAGGTCAACAAGAATAGTGTGGTTCTCCCATCTGCCTCAAAAGCCCTGCTCTCTACTTGCTCAGAACACTCAGCTCCATCTATCAGGAGGACAAAAAGGCTAGTGAGAATTTACAAGGAAGGCAAAGTCCTGCTTCTCATTTAGGGTTTTTGCTGGTGTCACATCACACTATTTATGTCAGAGTTGTTAAATGCCCGGCCTTCTCCCTCCATTTGGTGGCCTCATGTTCAGCTTTCTTATTGTCTACAAACTGACATATCATCTCTTTAGGTTCTTTGGTCAGGGAACATAAAAGAAAATGAAGAATTTGCTACATTTCATTTGCTTTAACAAAAAAAAATAAATAAAAATAAAAAACTTTTCTTCCTCTCAAAATTGTTCATCTTTTGAGGGTCATGGACTCCTTTTGCACATGGAAACAACAGAAAATCTAGCAAATTCACAAATTTTCTTTATTATCCCTGGACCACAGACCCAAGGTGAAAAACAAATAAAAACAAGTCTCATATATTCATATAAGGAAAGAATGTTTTAAAACTTATCACACGGCCAGGATTGCATGTGACTGCCCCACACCACACAGGATACTGCCTTTCAGAGAAGGCGCAGCCTCCTTGCCACTCAAGATTTAAAAGAAAATTCTGAACAGAAGATAATTTCCACATATGAAGAAGAAATGGGTATGAGGTCAACATGTAAAATTTCTAGTCTAGGTCATGAATGAGATAGGTTCTAAAGGTGAATTTGCATATGAGTTGGAACAGGGACATTTACCTATTAGCTGTACCAGCCTCTGTGCACAAGTACAAGTGGTATACCAGTTGGGTGTTTGTAACTTACTGTAATAGCTGCCATTTGTAGGTGTAACTTGGATGCTTAAACTTAGGTCAATTATGGAGATAAACCATACCTCCCTATCTATAGCAGAGTTGATTTGGGTCTTAATTTGGGGAACATGGAGAGAAGGAATGACCCAGCTTTTGTGTGCGTGTGGATATCTCTTGGCAGGAGTGGTGAAGATGACATTTTACTTTAGTGGTTCAGAAAGAGGGCTGGCTCAGCAACCGCCCCTTCCCACTCTAGTAAAAGGGTTGAGGTGGGTGGGTTTGTGATTTTGAGGAAAGCAAGTGAAGAATATTTTATTCCTTCAACAAATATTTACTGAACCCCTAGTGCGTGTCAGGCCCTGTCGTAAGGTCTGAAAAGACAGAAGCTTTCAAAGGGTCATTCCCCAGGAAAGGATGAGAGGTCTGCCTATTGTTATTCCCCGGACTTTAAAGGCAGGGTTTTATTTTATTGTATTTTATTTTTGAAGTACTGAGTAAAGGCTGCTACTTTATCCAGCAATTGCCATGTAGTATTTTGGATCTAGGAACTTACCTGCTTTTCTCTGATGTTTCAGACTCTGGGACCACAGATTTCTTGCTATAACATTCTCCCATCTCAAGCCAGGCCCACTAGGATCCCCTGTCCATGGGACAGACACCAACTTTCCCCATTCCATAGAGTTTCAGAATCCACAGCTCTGCGGCCCCCTGTTGCTTGGCAACCACAACGGCTATGGAAAGAGCAGTTAATGTCCCAAAGAATAAAAAAACCTCAGCTGCAAAGCCACAGTGACCCCTCAAAACATCTCACAAATCAAATGCAGGCCTGAGAACAGATGCGGAATCACTACATAGTCATCACTTCTGGAAAACCCATTCAAAGTGGAACAGATGCAGTGGTTTCTGCCCAAACCAAGGGGTGTTCACATCCAACACCGATGCTAAGGAAACAGCCAGGCTGCTGTCTGAGCGGGGTGCACAGCCAGAAACAGCCTGGTTTATAGGAGAAAAGTAGTTTCTCCACAGACTGACCCCTCATTGTGATGATCTGCTTTTCCTAGGCCCCACAGACCCCCAGAGAAGACCTACCCAGCCACGTTCTAGATGAAACTTGCTAGTATTGGGCAGGGGATGTTGCCCTGTGCCTGATGAGTGGTATTCTGCTCACTGTCACAACTCATCTGCAGCCTCTACTCCTTCTTTCCTGGTGATGGTCCGAAGTTACCCGCCACTTTCTCCTAGCCAATTGCTGTGTCTATCCCTGGATAGATGCATTTGTGGACCCCAATAGTCTATGGCAGGGAGTATATATATAAGAGCTCTGGCGTCTACAGCTCAGAATCATCACTTCTGGGTTTTGACTTGTAAGTCCTAGACTCACCCAACCTAATCACACAGTCCATCCCAAAACAAATTAGGTTGGTATGACGGTCATGTTTCTAATCACAGAATTTGTTTTTAGAGTTGGGCATATAGAGCAAATAACTGCAATAGTAGCAGAAACAAATAGTTAGAATTCATCACTTAATGAGTGTGATAGCACCTATTTCATTAATAAAATTTTAAGTTACCCATCACTTTGGTAAAATGACCCTTTGAGCAAAGTTAAGAACTATTGAGCAGTTGGAATTCTGGGTGGAAAAGTCTGCACGAACTGGGTAGATGAAGAAAAGCCAGGACGGGCCATGGGAGTGGCATCCAGCAGCCCATTCAGGGTGAGAACATCATCGTACCTCTCTTCGCTTTGGTTTTCTTATTTTTAAAAGAAACACTTGAACTATTTCTGTTATCCCTTCTAGCTCTAACATGGTTCTGTTTCTTTAGTCCATCTTATTAAAAAAAACCCCACAGAATGGAATATATTTTAGTGCATTTTAGAGGAATGTACAGACGCTCGCCATGTAGTTAGTTCATAATATTTTATAAAAGGAAGGTCATTCCAATCACGGCTGGTGAAAGGCACTGTAGGCACTAATTATTTATAATGGTTATTAATCTTATCGTACATCTCACTGATCAAAAAGAGAGGTGGAGAGATATTGCCAGTGCAAAAACAGACTTTCAAAAAGTCCTTGAAAAACAAAGTGACTTTTCTATTCTCATTCCACCTTAAAGCAATATTGCATAGAAGATAGATTTCAGAAGGTGATGCCGAAGGAATTGACACATGTTCTTAAAACACATTGGCCAAACAGAATTCTAGACTGACTCGGCTACTACTGGTATTACTGGTATTGTTCTTTTATGATTAAGTTAAGGAAAAGGACTTATGAATGAAAGTCACCAAAATGATCCTTTAAAAGTTAAACTTTCACTTTAATTTTTCTTATTTCTAGATTTTTTTTTCTGGTTCCTGATCTGATCTCTCAATCTATAGGTGAGGGTGATCTAGGATCTTTTTGTAACAACCTAGATGGAACTGGAGATCATTCGTCTAAATAAAGTATGGCAAGAATGAAGAAACAAATACCACATGTTCTCAATACTACATTGAAACTAGTCATTTAGCACTATGTGCACATATGGAAGCAAAACTCAATGGAAATCTAGTAAGGGAGAGAGAAAGGAATGGTAGGGTAAACTCAGACTTAACCCGTGCAATGCCCAGATTCTGGGTGAAGGGCGCACATCAACTTAAATGCACAAATGCAAATTAGGCAACCAAAATGTATGTACCCCTGTAATACTCTGAAATAAAAAATAAATTTTAAAAAATTAAAAAAATTTTCTGAAAGAGGAAAATTAAACTGAATTTTAAGAAAAAATGACAATCTTTCCGATTAACCTAAAGGGTCAAAAAGAGTATTATAATACAACTTCTAGAGATATATCTAAAATCATTGGCACTTATTCTGTTCACAATATTTTATACCGAAAAAATGCTGTGAGCTTATAGGGACTCTTGCAGACTATTACATACAATTTGAAAACTTATATTGTAGGGCGGCACTTGTGACTCAAAGGAGTAGGGCACCAGCCCCATATGTCGGAGGTGGTGGGTTCAAACTGAGCCCTGGTCAAAAACTGCAAAAAAAGAAAGAAAATAAAAGAAAACTTACATTGTAGGCTGTCAAAAAATGTACCCTTTCTTAGAATCAGAAATCACAAATGAGTGTGTATACAGTAAGGAGTATGGATGTTTTATATGCTCGGCTGTGAATGGATGCCTTACCAAACTTAAATGAGTGTCCATAGTCCAGAAAGGAGGCTCGAAGGAAAAACACAGCCATAAGGAAAGAGCAAGACAGAACAGATCATGGATTTACAATGAGAGATGTGCTGCTGAAAGGAGAGAGAGCCACAGGGGAGACCTCTAAGGTTTCTGCTCAGGAAATAGCCCTTTGTTTTCATCGGTTCCCTCACTCTTTCATTTGCTTATTTGTTTGTTTTTTCCAGCAAATATTTATTGAAACACCCTGTGTGCTAGGCACCTTGGCAGAAACAAAATGGATATACCACTGTGTTGGGGGAGTTGATTATTCTATCAGGGTTACCATTCCATTAGCCATTGATGTCCTATTGGAAAACCATAAATAAATGAAGCAGGTCTTGGATTTCAGAAATACTCTTCTAACTTAACATGTCCCAAGCATTGAAAAAAAAAGTAAGTAAATTCAAACAGGAGTACCTCCTACTTGTCCCCCTTTGCAGGTGAAATGGCCACCTTTTGTAGAGTTGACCTGGGGAAGTTCACTCTGTCCTCATTTCGGTGAACACACTGTGACTGTGTCTGTGTCCCAGCGTCTGAGCGAGTGTGTTCGTGCTAAGGGAGGACAAGAGGAGAGGGTGAAGGTGACAGAGACGCCAAAGAAACCGCACAAAAACAAGCACAAATCAGGCCACGACCCCTACCAGCCAAAACATCTGCCAACTGATTGCAAAGGCTTCTGCTTCTCTTAAGAACAAGCTAGCTCACTTGTTATTGTTTTTGTGACCTCTTCCCTGTGTTGTTGATTGCTTGATAAAGTGGGGCTAATTATCTCCAGATTCCAGCCTGTTTTTAATAGAGAGGGATGTTTACCTGTGTAGGCAGAGAGAATTGTCTGCCTCCTTGGTCCTAAAGTCTGTACTCTGGAGACACAGAGATGAAATTGATGGCTGTTAGTTGATGAACAGGAGTGTAAACTTTTCATTTACGCCTTGTTTGTGGCAGGAAAGAAATGTTCCTGCCCCTTCCTTACTGTTCTTTACTGCAGCGAGCATTTGCCATTCGAAAACCGCTAGCAGTACGGTATTTGATATTCCTGTGAGAATTGCCTCTCTTCCCATGTATATGACTTTGAAGGGACAGTAAATTCAGGTACCTAGCCCTTGCCACTTAACCCAAGTGGGAGTGGATCCTGTCCAGACAGAGGACCATACAGCATTGAACTTTACTCTTCAGCAAATTGGATCTTGGGTCTTTGAATCTCAAACAGACAATACCATAAAGAAAGAAACAGTTGAAGTTCTAGTTGTTCATTTAATTATCCCGCAAATATTTTCTGAGGTTCTCCTATGTAGCAGGCACTTTTCCGGAAGCTGGTATTACAGTGATAAGCAACACAGCCCATGTAGTTCATAATTTACTTGGTAGAGGGAATAAAAGAAACACAGAAGATAATGATGAACAGGGGGAAATGCTATGGAAAAAATAAAGGAATGTAGTAAGACCAGAACCGACAGGTAACATAGGACTGAGATGGGAAGGGTGAGAGGGAAGCAGCTTGGGACGCTTGCCGGGAAGGGGATGCCATCCCGTGATGCAGTCCCACATCCTGAAACCATGCATAGGCAGCACCATCTAGAGAAGACAAACCTCCCTTGGCTGTCTTTCTGTGCTCCTCTTCTCAGAAAAAGAAATCTTCAAAAGAGTAGTAGCTTATTTCCCGATTCTTTCTTAGTCTTCTCAAAGCAAATGTTCATAGTCTCCACTGAGATGGCTTTCATGCTGGTCATCACCAACCTCCGTCTTGTCCTTAAACAGCACCATCCTGGTCGGGCACGGTGGCTCACACCTGTAATCCTAGCACTCTGGGAGGTCGAGGCAGGTGGACTGCCTGAGCTCAGGAGTTGGAGACCAGCCCAAGCAAGAGCAAGACACTAGCTCCGCTAAAAATAGAAAAAACTAGCCGGGGGTTGTGGCGGAGTACCTGTAATCCCAACTACATGGGAGTCTGAGGCAAGAGGATTGCTTGAGCCCAAGAGTTTGAGGTTGCTATGAGCTATGATGCCAAAGCACTCTACCAAGTGTGACATAGAGTGAGATTCTGTCTCAAAAGAAAATTAATTAATTAAAAATCAAAGAAAACAAGAAATAATGTAAAGTTCAGAGGCAGACACAACTGAAAAGTATATTAAAAGAAAAAAAAAGAAAAAGGCAACATCCTGCCCCACCTTTTCTTATCATAAATGCGGTGTTTAGTCTCTGGAGTAGTCACATTTTCTGCCCATTCTCAGCCTTCTGCTGATTTCATGAGCCCCGACACACTGCCAATGAATTTGCTTTTTCTCTTCTTTGTCAGAATTGTTTTGGTTACTTCCAAACAATAAAAGACTAATTCATGCACTTATATTTTTTGTATCATTGTTGATTTTTACCCAGGAAATAATTGTTCAACTCAGGGCACAATCCT